GAAAAATAGAGGCAATAGAAAAACGTTGCACACAAACTTGCGCTTTCATTCGCGCTGTTTTCTTTTGATTTCCTCGAACTCTCTCCTTTCTGTGGGTCGCAAGCACCAGCGCTTTCGCAAGCTAGGTGAGCTGTTTTAGCAGCTAGGATTCGGTGTATCGATAGGTACCCGCTGATGAAGCAGCTAAGGGTCGTGGCAGTGTATACCAAATGGCTGGGTACCTAATGCCCTCATCTCGGCTAACGCCCGCTCCCCCACTGGAAAACTATAAGGGCGGAAAGGAGGGGGTTCGAGGAGCTTCAAGGACTATAGGCCCTTGAATGTGGATGAAATGTCAGAGTAAAAAAAAATCGTGTTAAGGGCATCATCCACCTATTTTCGATTCCCATGTTATGGTCGTTTCAAGGCCTTCTCATGTCCCTGATTGCGAATATAAAGATGAACCCGCGAAAACCTGGAAAATACCCGTTCCAGAGAACCTGTAGGGTGGTTTTCCAAAAGGGTGATTGGATGGGCGTGTACACCTGGGCGGACTTTAATGGAGGGGGGGGGGGGGAGGAAGCGGTGCCGCTCAAAAGTACTTGTGCCTCTTTGTTATTCCGGAGCGATTTTCTCTCCGAAGCGAATTTTGCTCCGCGCCTTGGGCATTGGTCTGATAAGAGGTCCTACTATCGTATGCTGCCGAAAGCTTAAGACCCCTGACTTAGGGTAGACGGTGCCTAGGCACCGTCAATCCAAATTCGGCTTCCAGATTTTTTTCGTTTCAGGGCCTTCTCATGTCGCTGATCCCGAATACGAGAATCCGCGAAACCCCGACAATCCCGTTCCGGAGAACTCACAAGCCTGCTTTCAGAAATGGTGATGGGATGGGCGCGCACGGATGGGCGGGCATGCATGGGCAGGGCGATGCCGTCTGAGAGTCCTCATGCATCTTCGTTATTTCGGAGCAAATTTCTCGCTTCCGAAGCGATATTTTACTTCGCAACTTGGGCATTGGCTTGATAGGGGGCTCTACTATCATAGGCTGTCAAACGCTCAAGACCCTCAACTTAAGGTGGACGTTGCTTTTGAGAGAAAGATCATGACTTCGTTTTTTCTGAGCCATCTTGTGACCAAGCCAACTAACAAAAAACTTGCCGCGCCTTTAGCTGACATAACTTTTCATGTGTTTTCATACATAGTATCAAGTCCTCATTTCATGTTTCCACATCAGATTTGCTGTCATAACATTTCCTCTAATTGTAAGTTGTAAAGAAGCTCTTTTATTCCGGGCATATTTTTGAACTCCTACGATAACACGATAAGCATATTGAAACGGGAAATTGTTGGTTCTGCAGGGAGGGGATTTTTTGATTACGTATACTTACTTAGATACTTAGATGGCCCGTCTTCACGTGGCGTGCGGGCCCCAGCATAAAAGTTTCCATTTGTCCCTGTCCCTCGCTTCAGACGTCCGCGATCTTCTTGGTTGCCGTCGGTGGCTGCGTCCACGAGTTCCAGGCGCGATAATCGTATCCAGCTGATTTCTCAGCTGGTCCATCCGTTCCACGAACACGTCTGCCCTTCTCTTGGTGGTCTTTCTCGGGACGTTTGGCTTCGCGAGGAATCCACTCAGATGTTCTTAGTGTCCATCTGTCCTCTGTTCTTCTCATGATGTGACCGGCCCATCGGTGTTTCGCTTTCGCAACGTATTCCGCTGGGTCACGAAAACGGGACATTCTTTTCGTATCCGTACTGCGAAGTCCGACTTGATGTTGCTTTCGTCAGGTCATCTTTAGAAGACTGCGCTCGAGCTCTCTGTGAGTGGTCCGTAGAGCTTTCGACGTGGCTACGGTGTAGGCTCAAGTCTCCGTTGCGTAACAGAGCGCCGGGAGAACGGTTGAGTCAAACAGGTGGGCACGAAGCTTTGGGTCCGTCAGTTGTCGGTGGCTTCTTTCAGAGGCCCGAAGCGGCACAGGCTGCTCTTCTTCTCCTGTTAAATTCTCCGCTTAAGTCGTTCTCCATGTTCATCGAATGTCCGAGACACACGTAAGAAGACGCCTCTATGATAGGGGAGCCTCCCGTTTCCATTTTTTGCATCTTCGCAAAGGGCGTTCATCATGAAATGAGTCTTTTTCCGATTTATTCCAGTCCTATCTCCTTCCCTACTTCTTTTAGTTCCTCCAGCATCGTCTCTGCTTCACTGATACTGCTCGAAAATAGAATGATGTCGTCCGCAAAACGAAGATTCGACAGGAATCTTCCATCAATTCGTATGTCTCTCTCGTCCCAGTCCAGTGACTTCATTACCCACTCCAAAGCCGCGGTAACGGCTTTGGCGAGATTGTGTCGCCTTGTGGGACCTCCATCCCAATTGGGATGGTCTGGAAGCGATGAAATCTGCTATCTGCATTGTGCAGTCCTTATAACAGTCGGCTAACGTCCTCAAGTAAGCTGGGTCCACTCCTTGATCGACTAGCGCTGACAGGATGGCGTTGGTTTCGATGAGTATATCCCCCTTCGATGAGATGCATCGAATCGTGTAAAATCGGCGATTTTCTACACATTGAACGCGTATCGATTAGACGTGTGGTAACTTGTTAGTGATCGATACGTATAGAAGACACAGTCGTCAATATTGGCAACTGGCGATCGCCAGTTTTGGCGACTACACGTTGGATACGTACCGACTGGACATGTAAACTCATGCCGGCAATCGATAGCTATTTAATGTGCAGTCCAACTTTAGTGGGCGATCGCCGTCGTACGATTGGCGATCGCCCATCGCGATGCTATACTCCTAAGGAGTATAGCGCCTGACTTACGTTAATCGCCCTCTGCAATTCTGAAAAGCGAAAAGGGCATGTTTAGACGTTTTCATGCATTTTTGAATACGGGTGACATAGATTACTCATTGTTAGAAGAAATACGATAAGCATGGCGAGATCACCTGGGATTGCCTTTGATAAGAGAAGTTTGGTTCCTGTTGGTGCATCAGTAATTGCGTCTCAAAATTTAATTCATCCTCATCGCTTTCTGTTGCTTTTGGAGGAAGTTTCACGCTTACAGCGGAACATTTGGTTTGTATACTGACAGTTTCTTGATTAAATTGCCTAGCAAGCCTGTGCTAGAAACCTCCGTACTAATATTCTATGGCATTAGCAGAGCATTTGGAACTATCGTCTGAAAAAAATCTTGACGATGGCGCGACCGCGCGCGGCACGCACCCACTTCCCACAACTGCATTTTCTTGCTTTTTCATCTCTACTAGAATGGTTTTTCTGCTTGAATATGATACAGTGCTGGACATAATTATAAAGCCACTCTTGGTGCAAAAGTTTTGTCAGTTTTTTCAATCCATTGGCAAGCACGCTAGAATGAAGATACACAAACACTTCAAAATGTATCCAGTGCAGAATTTATTCCTCTTTCCAGCTGCTAAACTCCCGTTGTGTTTCGTTGAGAGAATGACGAGATATTTGCCGGAAATTACAACTACTCGTTTCTACCATGTCCAATTTTCACTAATTTTCAAAATGTTTGTATGAGATATTCGGAGGGTTTCTAATAACCAGCAGAGACCACTGGGGCAAACCTTTTGCCAACAAAAGCAATTTTTATCTTTTTTAGCTGCTTTTCAGGATTTTGCCAAGTAATTTTCTGAAAGTCTTGTGTTTTGAAAAAATCGCATAACCTTTCATTGTACCAAACACTGCAAAACCTACAGAATACTGATGTTTTAACACTCGATTATTACTACCGCTACCATTACAAAGTAAATGAGCGATTTTCGCTTCAGATTATGAAGATTTTGAAACATAGGTTACGTCAGTGCGCACTCATAAAATTGAGAAACAATGCGATTTTCCCCATAAATTTTGTAGAAATTCTAGAAGACAAGGCATAGAGCTACAAAAAATTGCTTCTGTTGGCAAAAGGTTTGCCCTATCTGGTGGTTATTAGAACCTCTCCGAAAGTCTCATACAAAAGTTTTGAAAACTGGTAAAAGTTGGACATGTTAGAAACGAGTGGTTGTAATTTCCGGCAAATGTCTCGTCATTCTCTCAACGAAACACAACGGGAGTTTAGCAGCTGGAAAGAGGAAGAAATTCTGCACTGAATACACTCTGAAGCGTTTGTGTATCTTCATTCTAGCGTGCTTGCCAATAGATTGAAAAAACTGACAAAACTTTTGCACTAAGAGTGGCTTTATAATTATATCCAGCACTGTAGTATACGAACACTGGAAGTGACTGAGCTGGGAGTTAAGGTGTGCCTTTTTGTTTGAGTGTTTTCTGCTCATGTGGGCGCAAAGACCGCAGTCAATTTCGTCGTCACGATTTTATGAATGGCCTATGTATTATTTGTGTTATCATGTGACCATGACCATCCTCCACTGTGTCAAATATCGCTCGTGATTTTATTTGTGGAAAAAACCCATTTATGGTATTATGGTATATTAAAAAACTATTTATGCTGTATAACGCGATAATTCACAAAGTTCGTCTGTCACAAAAGTCACTAAGGGATAATTCGCGATATTTGAGAGCATAAGAATCAAACAGAGATACATTTTTGTTCGAAGCCGCTAAGCAGAGGCGACGTTCTGGTTCACCGGTGAAAAAACCAGAAGCAAAGGTTCAGTGCTGGTCACAGATAAATTGATATTAAAGTCATATAGAGCGGCGAGCTTCGTCTGAGGCCTCGGACAGAGTTTTCGGGATTTGATCGTCACGATTCATCGCTACAAGACAAGTGTTACGAGTGTACATGCCGATCTTCTTGTATTTCGGCTGTGATAGTTATTCACGATTAGTCGTGTTGGAAAACTACCACAACCGAAATGCAAGACGATTGGCAGGCAATGATATTGTTACAGTTGTTCTGTAGCGATTAAATCGCGACAATCAAATCGCGTGACTCCGTCCGAGGCCTGAAAGAGGCAGGCTTTCGTTACCACGCATGCACGCGAAAACTTATGCAGCCAAGCGCAAGTTTCAACAGCCCTGTGATTTTTTCATTCTAGACAGCAACTCCACAAATTCCTCCTGGTCAACCAAAGGTCTAGAGCTGATACTCTCTTCTGTAATTGATATATTTCCAATGAAGATCGCTCGAGAGACCTATTATAGAGAATATCTTCGCTATCGTACCTTTATCGGAGTGATATGCCTTGTAAGTCTACGCTTTGTAAATTAAATTTGCTCCATGTTTTCAGCAAATGTTTCGTAGGATTTTGGAGTCATGGTTCCAAACAATTTATTGAGCTATAAATCTGGACAGTTTCACAAACGAGAAACCCAAACTTTGCAAGCTTCGTATCAAAAACTTAACCACCAGTGTGTTGCCAGGCCTGTTCTTTTCCTATCTATGCAAAGTTGCCTGGGCGAAGAATGCATTTATTCGCACTTGTGTCGATCAAGCGGTCACTTACAACTTTGGAAAACACGCAAATCAGACTTCAGTCAACATAATCTCTGCAATCTCAATTCTTATTATAGCTTAAATTATTCTAGTGCATCACCTTCGCTTTCCTTTCCGGACAAATGTGGAATCACATTCGCCGACCTCCTCTCAATGTGTTCAACCAACACACACGTGAAACGAAATACATTCATCGATCACCAAGGCGGCAGGTTCGATCTTGCTCTGACTAAATCGCCCGTTGATTTATTAGGTTGTTTCACATTTTCATCCCAAAAAAAATTCGTTTCAATTCTCCAAATTAGGATTCAGTCACTATTTGATGAGAAAAGCAAACTCTATGTGATGTCCTCCAAACATTCACACAAGGTTTAATCCACAGATGTGGAGAAAAAACTAAGAATTCTGTATACCCAAGAATGTATTTGCGTTTAGAAAATTCTACAGGCTCCATCTTGCTTAGGCATATGTTGGCACCAGACATTTGTGTTAGGTCATTTCATAACTTCATAGCGTTTTTATAACTAACAAACTTACAGATTTTGATCAACATCTTGAAAAATGGAGTTGAAATCTGCAAAGAATTTGGCAGAAGGTTGTGCGCTAAAATGCAGCATACATTCTTAACTGCTCAGCTAATCTAGTACTAGTTAGTCTAACCAGCATCTCAGATAGTCAGTATCGGAGCAAGCACCTTTCATGTTATTTGCAACAGAGCAGCACAAATGTGGTGAAGTGAGGCCTGAGTAATACACTAATCTTGAGCAATGTCTCACTGTATCAAAGACCCTTCCGACCCTGGTCTAACCTTAAAGCCGCTTAAAATGCTCGGAAACCCCGTTTTCAAAAGTCTCGAGAAAACAATGCGAATAAGTTGTGCCCTTGCCTTCTCGTCTAATTTCCGCCACAGTGGCAGCAACGCCATGGAGGTGTACGTTACGTGGGAGGGCCCGTTGAAACGCTTATGATGAGAAGCCGGAGAAGTCGGCCGTGCGGACCAAATTTCTCTGTGCTGATCACTTTGAGCGCTTTTTTTCATTTTTAGAGGTGTCAAATCGAGCCGCAATTGTTGCAGTGGCTTGTTTAGTGGGCACTATAGTAGAAAACGTGGAGATCCGTGCAGTCTCAATGGGCTTGCTAGTCAGTTCTGCAGAAAAGTTTTGATGACCTTTGTCGCGTGGGAACATGTTTCGTTATAAGAAAAAACACATTGGACCTGTTTCCTAGACCTTGCAACTCGTGACGTGCAGCTAAGTTGAGCGTAATCGATTGTGCTCAATATGATCGGCTGTTTTGTTTTTCTCCAGCATTTTCAGCGCAGCAGGTCCTATCCATCTTTCAAAAGTTTGTTTAGAAGAGCACCCTCTCTAATCCTTGACCCTTGGATTTGAAGAAATCCAAATCGGCAATTTTCAATAATTCTACCTACCATTAAAACAAAAGGAATTTCTTAGCAAACCACAACCACACAAACTCATTTCAAAGATCAAATCAGCGCATGCAATCACCTTTCATTGATTTACGCCGATATACCCTGATATCTTGCCGCAAGTTGACCGATCATTGAACCAATGAGGACGACAATGAGAACTACGAGCTTATGGAACGATTTGTATTCAGAATTTGAGAACGAAAACTAGGCCAAGGATACGAAAATGTTACCAATTTCAGGTTTGTACGCTAAATTTGGTAGAGGTTCTCAACCGAATTTTGCTTTTCTACAACTTTTCCCTGTTTGATATGGCTCATTTGAAGTCTGCCATCAGCTAGATAACGAAGTGAACTACAAATGTGTACATGCTAAGTTGCATGATTTTGAATAAGAAAATTAAAAAAATCCGCAGATTACGCTGGCGAGAGTCAGGTCCTTTGCGTTCAAAGCAAAAATGGAGCTGCTCATTTAAGCTCATGCAGTCGCCTGTAGCCCTGTAACCGTAGAAAAAGCGTTGCTAAAGGTTGACACCGAGGCTATGCTGAAACAAAACATAAACACTTGATGCTAAGTTAAGATTCTTCTCTTAGTGTCGTAAAACTTTACCATGCAGGATAAGCACCACTTTTGATCCAAAGACGTTTTATTCTCCCCCCCCCCCAAACCAATTTTTACCGGATCTGTAACAATCTGCGACTTTAGCTACCACATGCCTGCCATAATGCTCTTGCTGCAATGACAGGAGTTGACAGAACAGTGACTGCATTCGTTGCGCATCATAATCTATGTGATGCGAAAATCTCACGAAAAATTGCAAAAATCACGGTTAGTTGCTAATTCCTCAAAAAATACATCTGTAGATTGCTAGAAGTTTTGCTTCAAAAGTTTAAGATAAGAATGCCTAAATGAAGGACAGATTGTTTTGGTCGAAGCTCGTCGGGTCACCCTTTTAGCCTTAGAAAATACGACTGTTAATATGATTGTATGTTTTAGTACGTGCGTGAGCGCTGGAGATACATCAAATTTTTTTGGCAATCCTTGTCAGGATTTTGAATATTGGATGTTGGCTTTCCTTATGCAGATTAAGTTTTGTGCCAAAGTTCGAAGGTTATCTGATAGGCTTTGCTTTTTCCTATCAAATCAAAATTGAGACTAGTCGAATTGTTCATCAATTTATGTTTTGCTTCATACAGCTTTCTAGAAAAATTTGTGAATACAGCTTAAGTAAGCGTAAGCAAAACACTCAAATTTGGTAACTTTCGTTAGTTGATGTGTCCCGTAGATAAATCAAGACAAAGCTTAGATCAAATGCATAGTTCAGTATCTCGGTGAATCCTACGTTGTCTTTGCTTCATATGCTGCTATCACCATTGGCTTCATACTTATCAACGAGTTTCTTCCTTCCAATACTGTACAACGAAAGGCAAAGAAGAAGATCTCAGCACCAAAGTGGTCCTTCTATGTAAATAAGAATAGTAAGTGAATTTACCTGTGCGAGAGAAAATAGGAATATGTGAATTTCAGCCCTACTTGTCTACTTCGGACTCGTAATGTCGGTGGCTTTCTTCTTACTGATGTCATCTATGTTGTGCAGCAAAAACCGCAAATATTCTTATTGTGTTGGATCGTTTTGAACCACTGCCGGTACTTTTCCTTTATCCGGACCCATTCTGAAAATGTTTTCATGAAATACGTGCTTCAGCCTAGAGACTTTTCCACAGATGTTGTGAGGACTATAGCCTTGCCACCTATCAAAATAAAAATCAACACGTTCGGGATCAGTTTGACATGTTTTTTCGACACTTTCGGTGAGGTACGAGTGCATATGAAGTGACCCAAAAGTTATAAAGGGTCTTTTATAAAAGCGAAACAGTTTACTTCCATTGGAACATCTTGGTAACTTTCAGAAACAATTTGAAGAATTGCTCTTCCATTGTTCCCGCCATGCGAATCTAGCTGGGAAACCTAATGTGTCTATCAAATACAGGATGTCATTTTTATGATGCTGATCCTCATTCATAATGCCGTTAAAGGCAGCAGCTCGCCAAATTTGAACACCCCGAAATTTTGACATGGAAGGTAGCTTGCACCCCATACGCGCGGACGAGCTTGCTATTCTCTCTGACCCGTCAGAAATGGCATGCCGCAATGTTATAACTGCGAGGTTATAACATTGCGGCACGCAAAGTTCTGCCTCTCTAACCATGGCGGGACGTGCTCCACTCGTCCAAATTTAAAATGGAAGTCCTGGGAAATGGTATTTCGCCATTTTCGCGCTCTTCAAGGTTGATCTTCGGAATCAGCGCCTCGAATTACCTCTCAGGTAAGCAAAAAAACTTCAAGTCGAGAATCTGCCGTGCCGCTGCCTTTAAGGGGCTCATTATTACATAAGAAATAGGTTGAACTCACATTGGTGGTAGGCTAAACAAACTCTTGGTAAAACCTGTTAAACACGTGGATAACCTGTCTACTTTTTTGGCAAGAGTTGACCTCCACACCTGAAGTTCTTACGAAATCTGGTGTTGAAAAAGAAGCAATATCCTCTTTAAAAATATTGGTCCGGCTAACGGGAAAGTACCCCATTGCCTTATACGCGCAAATAAAGTTTATCGTTGTTGCAAAACTTCTGCTATATACAGGGTGTCCCAAAAGTAAGTACACACTTTTCAATTACTAATATCTATCTTCTCGCTGAGTCTTTTTCCGCCGTTCAAGTACCATTCTGTAGAGGAGGCTTCATCTTAGATTTACAGTACGAAATGAATCACCGACCACTCTTCATTACTCTAGGATTACCTTAGGAACTTCGACAAGGATTTAAGGCCATTGGAGGCCATATTCTGCCTCGGAACAAAACCGAACAAACCAAAAATTCTTACACTATGGTAATGGAAGACGCTGATTTCGAATATGAATTTTTCGCCTTACTGTGATGCTTCTTTCTAAAGTTATCCCAGGTAAACCGTAATAATCGAATTCCCAGCATTCGTCAGAAATGTGATTAATCGTCAAAAAAGCTAAAAACACTCGTAAAAAGTTGCGTAGTAGAAAACCTCAGTATACGATTTTTCAGACTTCTTGAAAACAACTTGTCAGATGGCATATTTTACAGTGAATCCACATGCTGGAAGTTCTCACTGTAATCCTACAGTAATGAAGAGTGGTCGGTGATTCGCTCCGTACTGTAAATCTAAATTGAAGTTTCCTCTACAAAACGGTATAAACGGCGGAAAAAACCCAATGGGAAGTGTTGGAGAGTAACATTTGTTTTGTTTTGTGTTCTTATTGGTTTGTGATCTCTAGGATCTATTGGTATTGTATTGACCTATGCGCGGGATCTGAGCGCTATAAAAAGCGTTCCCTGCTAGCTAAGTCATTCGTTCGTTCGTTCGTTCGTCTCGTCCTATCTTGTATTCTTATTCATATCCGGTCTACTAATAAATCTACTATTCTACAAGTGTCCTGGACCCACTACAAGTACAAGTACAAGTATAATTACAGGGCTTTTCAACCTGAGAGTCGCAAGTTTCGCTTGCGCGGCTCCTCCAACGCGGCCGCCTCGCTCAGGCCGCGCGCGGCGTTTGCTGCTTATCGCCCGGATTTCGCCAAGCTTCAGTCGACGCGCAGCCAGCGCCACGAACGCTGCGCGGACCTAAGCGTGGCGTCCTAGCGGGGCGGGTGGGACACTCAGGTTGTAAAGCCCTGTACAAGTAGAAGACTACAACAAGTGGCGATCAGTACGACGACACGCGTGGAGTGGATAAGAAACAAGTTAAACAAGTACTTCTTCGGGAAGGATGGCGACCAAGTCGAGCGCTTCACTGGAGCAGATGTTCGCTCAGCTGATGCAACAAAACGCTGCGCTTTTGAAGGCGAGCCAAGAGCAGTCTGCAGCTCTCCTGAAGTCGAACCAGGAGCAATCCGAGCGGATAGAACAACTCCTGAAACGGATAGGCCATTCAGTTGCTCCTACGATGGCCGACTACTCAGCACTTTCGTCGCGACTGCCAGGCTTCAGCTACAATCCAGACAGCGGTTGCACCTTCAAGAGCTGGCTGTCGCGGTTCTTAGAAATTATTCCAGAATCGATGCCAGAGAAGGATCGCTGTACTCTCCTGTCCGCGAAGCTGGATAACGCCGCACACGCCAAGCTGAGAGAACATCTGGCGCCGAAATCACCAATAGAGCTCTCGTTCGAAAAGCTGACGAAGGTGCTGACGTCGCTTTTTGGTGAAAAGACGACGCTGTTTCGACGTCAATGGAACTGTCTTCACATGAAGGACTGCGCAGAAGACGTCGAATCGTACGCTGCTCGACTCAACAGAATGCTGGTCGATGCCAAAGCAGACGAAATGAAAGGTGAACCACTCAAATGCCTGCTTTTCGTCATGAGATTGCAATCGGCGTGCGATATGCCAATTCGTGCTCGACTACTGAGCAAGCTGGACGCCGAGATTGATACGTACAAGCTACAGGACCTGATTGCCGACTACAACGCCCATCAGTCCGTGCAAAAGGATGCTGCCCTCATTGGCTCTGCACCGGCGCCCGTCCAAGCTGAAGTCGTCGCTCCTCTCCGGAAGAAGAAGCAACTTCGACCACCGCCGCAACGTACCAGGCGCTCATCTGATAGCAAGGATCCGCCTGAACGTTCCCGCCGTGACGACGTGTGCTACACTTGTGGAAACAAAGGACACTGGGCCAACAACTGCCCGTCAAGGAACCGACCTGTCCGCCGTTCCATGAAAAAAGTTGTTAAGTTGAACGTGCTGAACTCCCATCGTCGATACGTAAATGTCAAGCTGAATGACATGGATGTGAAGATGCAACTAGATACCGGTGCTGACGTATCGACAATCAATCGCAGGACGTGATAGAGTTAGGATCGCCGACCTTGGAGGCCTCGCCTGCGGAGTTGAGAGCTGCAAATGGATCGTTGATCGAAGTATTTGGAGTTCGTGAGATGCCGTTCACATGCAATGGTTTCGATGGCCAAGGATTATTTTACGTCACCAAGGAGCTTGCAACAGCTGCCGTCTTTCCGAGATGCCCTCTCTGCTGTTTGCTGTGTTGTGGATGCCTCTTCGCCACTGGACGAACGCCTCGCAGCCGAATTTCTAGAAGTCTTCAAGCATGAGCTGGGGCATGTCAACAAATTCAAAGCTCACCTTGTGCTGAAGAAGGACGCCACACCCGTCTACGTGCCAAAGCGGAAGGTACCGTTTGCCGTAGATCCTCTCGTCAACGCAGAGTTGGACCGCCTCGTCGCTACTGGAGTGCTGTCACGCGTCGACTACTCTCAGTGGGCCGCTCCCATCGTTCCTGTCAAGAAAAAGAACGGAGCACTGCGCATTTGTGTCGACTTCTCCACCGGACTGAACGACGCATTGGAGCTGCACAGACACCCGCTGCCCACCGCTGAGGAAGTCTTCACCAAGTTAAATGGAGGGACCGTTTTCACGAATATCGACCTGCGTGACGCGTACTTGCAAGTTGAAATGAACGACGAGAGCAAGGAATTGCTGACCATCAACACATCTCGTGGACTCTTCCGCTACAACCGTCTACCGTTTGGGGTGAAAAGTGCCCCTGGGATCTTCCAGTCGTTAATGAGCAACATAACCGCTGACATCAGTGGAGCCGTCGCTTATCTGGACGATGTTGTGGTCACCGGAAGGACTCGTGAGGAGCATGACGCGAACGTCTTCAAGTTCTTCCAACGTCTACAGGACTATCGAATGCGTGTTCGCCGTGAGAAGTGTCATTTTGCTGAACCTAGCATAGCATTTCTCGGATTCATCGTCGACGCCAAAGGAGACGCCTTGATCCCGAGAGGATTGCCGCCGTCGCTCATATGCCGCCGCCCCCAAGATGTGAAGCAGCTCAAATCTTACCTTGGGATGATTTCGTTTTATTCGTCTTTCGTGCCAAGGATGCGTTCACTTCGCGGACCATTGGACGCCTTGAAGAAGAAAGACACACCGTTTGTCTGGAGTAGAGAGTGCCAGGAAGCCTTCGAACGCCTTCGCGAAGTCCTGACCTCGGATCTTCTGCTGTGCCACTATGACCTCAAGAAGCCGATCATTGTTGCCGCTGACGCAAGCAACTATGGAATCGGAGCAGTGATTCTCACCGCTACCCGGACGGATCGGAGAAGGTCGTTTGCCATGCGATTCGCGCATTCACGGCACCAGAGAAGAACTACTCGCAGATTGAGAAAGAGGGATTGGCCCTAGTTTTCGCCGTCAAAAAGTTTCACCGGTATATCTACGGACGAAGATTCACTCTGCTAACGGATCACCGCCCTCTACTCACCATATTCGGGAGCAAGAAAGGAGTACCAGCGTACACTGCAAACCGTCTACCACGATGGTCGATGACACTACTTGCTTATGATTTCGACATCAAGTACTGCTCTACGACATCGTTTGGGCAGGCCGATGCTCTATCCCGATTGCTTTCCTGCTGGAGTGCGCCGGACGAAGACGTCATCATTGCTACTGTAGAAGCTGATGTCACCGCCACTTACGAGGAAGCTCTCAACCAGCTGCCAGTTACAGTGGAAGACGTACGTTCTGCTATGCAAAAGGCCCCCTGCTGATGGAACTGCTCAACTGCCTCCAAACAGCACGGTGGCCAAATGCGCTTCCGGGAACGCCGTTGTTCAACTACACGAGCCAACAGAAGGAACTCTCCGCTTACAACGGATGCATTTTCTTTGGATCCAGGATCGTCATACCCGCTTCGCTAAGAAAGAAGACTCTCCGCTGCTGCACGACGGACACCCTGGACAAACCCGGATGAAACTGCTTACTCGCAGTTACG